CAGAAGACTTCTGGTTAGTAACGCACAAAACAGCCAATCAAAATTGAGAACGCATGTATGTGAAAAGGTAATAATTTTTAATAATGCTGTCAAAAAATACAAAATACAAACTGACCTCAAATAAAACTCAGAGGACTTCGAATCAAATAATTAAGAAAACTCTACTATTACGTTTATAAAAAGGAAGATTTATTAACTCAACAACCAAATTATAACATCGCCATTCAAAAAAAAAAAAAAAAATTCTCACACTTGTTACATAAAGCTATAAAAAGACCGAACGATTATTTATGCAAACGATTATATATGATTATTATGAACTAAACCTTATGCAAACGATTGCTTATGACGTCGTTAGATAAAAGTGTCATTAACGCAATATTATCCAGTGTTTATTAATAATTTTGAGTGGCAATGTAAAAAGATAGTGGTTCTAAAGTTTTATAACAAAATGTTTGTTTTCATAGAACGCAGTTATTTATCTTAGAATTCCAATATATTTTAATAGCTTTGATAAATTGGGTAGAGTTATTAGTAGCACGAATCAACACTCTCTCAAAAAACTATTTACATTCTAAATTATCAAAATATATTGAACAGAGTTTACTTTAAAATACTTACATCTTTTATAAAAAATGGATCGCCGTGAATATCTTAGGCGATATCAACAACGACATAGAGCTGAACATGATTTAGCTACACAAAATTAACTGGAAAATAATCGTACTGTTATTAGTACGCGATGGCGGAATGCGCGGCGAAGAAACGTTGAAAAGTCAAGACGTTAAAATGAAAACGAATACCTTCGTGTACTTACGAATACTTCTGATTGAAACTAAAATATTTTGTCAATTGACAGTATTGAAGTTAATTAAACAATTACTTGCAATGGTATTTGCTTTTGAAATATTACTTAGAATCAACTTATTAATATTACATGTTTTATTTTGTTTGTAATTTTTGTAAAGCTTTTTTTCATCATGTTTTAATTGTTTTCAGTTTAAAATTTAAATTACTGGAGGGGGAGATAAAGCACCATATTGGGAGCGTCCGGCATCCTATAAGATCAACAATGATTTGAGTTAGGCTCTACCACGCGTGCTTCCGATACGGAGATTAATCTCCGGCTAATGCCCTATAGTAATGTATTAAATAATATTGCTTCCTTGCTTTATATAAGTTAATAATATTGTTTGTATTGAAATTTGCTTTACAATCCTATCATATTCTCTCTGTGTGATGCTGGTGCAGAAAAATTGCCAGCTAATCTCCAGGAAAACGACTTTAAGTTTGTTAGCGAAGAGAACGAAAATGTAATTGCTTAGCAATTATCGGGGGTCGGCGAGCGGTAATGAGCAGGCGGCGGAACCCTCTAGTATATATATAGANTCATGGTTATATATATATATATATATATATATACTATGCTGAAATGTCCTTAACTTGTACTTATGGTGGTTTGAACGATTTAATTGTCTGGTTGACAAATATTAAATTATTACTAAAATTCAGTACATACAGAATTTTTACAATATCAAAGACATCTCTCGAAAATAGTTAAAACTGAAATCAATGTACTTCCGTGCAAACAAAAGCTAGAAGGTGAAATAAATTTGATTAATATGTACTGTTTAAAACTAATTAAGGTGTTATTATTGGAAGACGAGCTAAAGAGTTAGTGCAGCGCTTTCGGCTTTGTTACTACCACAGCAGTTTACATGTTGTACAAGATCATTTTGGAAGGTGACCAAGCTGGTTACCAAAAGTGACTAGTTCTAAATAATTTTGTGAACAGATTCAAAAAGTGAACGTTTTATCTGTTGTAAGTACCGAAAACAGATACTTACCTAACAAGAAGACATACACCGTACCCATTGTCACAAACTCAAGAAGTAAAAAGATCTGATTACAGTGATTGATTGAGTTTCTATAAAGGATGAACTTTGGGATAAGATAAAGGAGAGATTATCCATTCTATGTTGAAAAAATTAACACCTGTTTGAATTTTTTTTCTTCCGAAAATCACCTGTATTTTTTTCCAGATATTTGAAATACAGTAAACGTATATTTTCACGCAGTTTATATAATTTAAAATTAGATATTGTTCAGTTATTTTGTTTTTTTGCCTCCAAAATTGAATATATAAATAAATAAATTTTGCATTCTGCCATAATGTGCATTCTCCTTTTGCACTCGGCTCATGAATGGTCACTGGCATAAGATAATTGTTATGATGGAATCAATAATTCACATAATTCATTTAAAAAATCAATATCGCCAAGATCAAATCATTTCTTTTAAAAATATTTTTGTTCAAGCAGAGACCAAAGGAATGAAAAATGCCTTAAGAGAAAGATTTCATTTTTTAATGGATCAAAAACTGTAAGCGAAATTTAAAAGAATCGCAAACAATGTATTGAAAAATTTTTTGGACACATACTACAGAGACTAAAAATTAGCTACATTTATATGTTATAGATTTTGTTTTCGTGATAAATAAAACTTTACATAAAAATATTTTAATCCAAATGACAAAAAATGTCTGAAAAGTCAGGATTTATCTTTCAATTTTTGGGATTATACAATACATCATATAATTTGAATTGTACATTATAATCATATATACAGTATACAATCACCTTTACTTGTAATGATATATTTTGATTACTTGTAATCATTTATTTGCATTATACTTATAATCACGATTAGGAGGAGTTAGTTGTTGTACTTGATTATTGCAATCACGATTACGGTTATAATCAAAACTATGAACGTTGTATTAATCTTGATTATGAGAAATTGATTAATGTAATCGAATACATTTTTGCCCAAACCTGAGAATACAATAGGCCCTGTATGAATAGTAAACTATTCAATTTAAATAAACTTTTAGATAAATATTATTAAGAACTAAAAAAATAGCTATAAATTAATAAAAATAAAATAATTGGTATTTTGTTGAAAATCAGACCTAAAATCTTCTCCAAATTGAACGTGACAGAGAAGTGAGATCTGTCGAAGTTACGTAATATTAATTCTCAAGAACAAAAATATGATAGAACTAAAAAAATATTTGATATGTTTTACTTGATGATTTATAATTTAACTAGGGGGCTTCGCCCCCTGCTCGCTGGCGCTCGCCAACCCCCCGAACTGCTTTCGCAGTTCATTTCGGATTGCTTCGCAATCCGATGCTTGCTTTTCTCGCTCATTGGATAAGTTCTTAACGTCTAGCTTTTGTATACTTTTTTGAACACTGAAGTTCCGAAAACTTTTCACTGTAGAAAATTCTAAACCTGTGCATTTCAATATTAATTTGAAATTGCAAACAGTTCACATATTTTTCTTAATCACACTATTCTAAATTTCAGTTGTTGAGAAAAGTAACTGTTGTAAGTTTTGTTTTAAAGTCTTTCCCACCAGAGGGCTAAAACCATGTGTTGTAAAACAATATGAAATAGTACTGAACGCCGGATGTAAAGCATCGGCTTCGATGAA